CTCGCTTACCTCCGTCTTCCTGGCTCTCTCCCTGGCTCAATCGCTCCACCCGCTCTTTTTTCAGATCCAGCCAGACCCCAAAGGATGCCGACCATACACCCCCTTTTTTGGTGGCTGGGGGGGGGGATTCAGCAAGATTGTTCTTTCTTTGTTCTTTCTTTGCCAGCGCAGCTCAGCGTTGCTGCTGCTGACTCCATACCGGCCATCACAATTCTTTATCCCTTTCAGTGGGGAAATCCTAACCTATAGTCTTTGGCGACCCCTCTGAAACTCCTTCGTGACCCCCCCAGGGGTCCCGACCCCCAGGTTGAGAACCACTGTCCTACAGGATGGTCAAACATCTCGGCTTCCCTTGCACAATATCCTTAGGTAAAGGTAAAGGTTTTCCCCTGACATGTAATCCAGTCGTGTCCGACTCTGAGGTGTAGTTCTCATCTCCATTTCTAAGCCGAAGAGTCGGCATTGTCCGTAGACACCTCCAAGGTCATGTAGCCGGCATGACTGCATGGAGCACCATTACCTTCCTGCCAGAGCAGTACCTATTGATCTACTCACATTTTTCATGTTTTCGAACTGCTAGATTGGCAGAAGCTGGGGCTGACAGCAGAAGCTCACGCTGCTCCTCGGATTCGAACCAGCGACCTTTCGGTCAGCAAGCTCAGCAGCTCAGCACTTAACCCACTGCACCACCAGGGGCTCCATGGACAATATCCTTGCAGACAGCTAATTCTATCACACCAGAAGCAACTTGCAGTTTCTCAAGTCGCTCTTGACACACACAAAAAACCATGATTCCAAGTGGGGCGATAATGCTGGCTGGTAGATTTCTGATGCCATGAAAAGTACTGCAGCAAGAGAAATACAGGAATAACCCATCAAGGGCACGTTCCGTCAGGACTCTGCTGAGCATGTGTCACTAAAATGAATGGGCAGTGTGTAAGAGCAGCCTGGATTCACTATCCTTCTTTATGTCTTCTCTGAAAGTCGCATTTGATCTGCTGTGGTTACCTTTTCCCATATTTCATTTTAAAACCTATTGTGTGTATTACTGTGATCTTGAATCGTTGTTAGCCAACCTGAGTAATGCATATGCATTAGGAAAGCAGAGCAAATATTTTTACATGAATTATATCTTGGTTTTGCATTTCCTTATTTTTGCAATTGGTATGCTGTGCACGGCTCTGAAAACCGAGCTGGAGCAGCTCCCCTGCGAGGAAAGGTGACAATGTTTTGGGGCTGTTTGGCTTAGAAAGTAGGTAAAGGGAGACATGACAGACGTGTACAAAATTAAGCGTGGTCTGGAGGAAGCAGATAGGAAGATGTTCTTCCCCCTCATTCCTAATGCTAAAATCTGAGCTCATTCACAGGAGCGGTGTGGTAGGAGAATCAGGGCAGTTGAAATGAAGGAAGTACTTCTTCATGCGGTACATTGTTTAAAAGTTGTGGAACTCATTCTTAGGCGATCCCTCGTTTTCCGAGGATGATTGTCTTCCAATACTCTTGTGGGTCCGTATGTGGCTGTGGAGCCCTATTCTTGCTCTGCATCTTCTTCCGCAGTGAGGGCATTGGTTTCCAGGCGGAAGGCGGTCTCGGTCGGGGTTGGCTTGACGCGCCTTCCTCTTGGCACGCTTCTCCCTTTCGCCCTCCATTCGTGCCTCTTCAAATTCTTTAGCACTGCTGGTCACAGCTGACCTCCAGCTGTAGCACTCAAGGGCCAGGGTTTCCCAGTTCTCAGTGTCTATCCCGGAGTTTTTAAGTTTGGCTTTGAGCCCATCTTTAAATCTCTTTTCCTGTCCACCCACATTCCGTTTTCCGTTCTTCAGTTCGGAGTAGAGCTACTGCTTTGGGAGACGGTGGTCGAGCATCCGGATAACATGGCCGGTCCAGCGGAGTTGGTGGAGGAGGACCATCGCTTCAATGCTGGTGGTCTTTGCTTCTTCCAGCACGCTGACGTTAGTCCGCTTGCCTTCCCAAGAGATTTGCAGGATTTTTCGGAGACAGCACTGATGGAATCGTTCCAGGAGTTGCATGCGACGTCTGTAGACAGTCCACGTCTCACAGGCATATAGCAGGGTTGGGAGGACAATAGCTCTATAAACAAGCTGTTGGTATCCCTACAGATGTCCCGGTCCTCAAAGACTCTCTGCTTCATTCGGAAAAATGCTGCGCTCGCAGAGCTCAGGCGGTGTTGTATTTCAGTGTCGATGTTGACTTTGGTGGAGAGGTGGCTGCCAAGGTAGCAGAAATGATCAACATTTTCTAATGTTACACCATTAAGCTGTATCTCTGGCATTGGAGAGGGGTTGGGTGGTGTCTGCTGGAACAGCACCTTGGTTTTTTCAATGTTCAATGACAGGCCGAGCTTCTCATACGCTTCTGCAAAGGTGTTTAGAGTGACTTGTAGATCTTCTTCTGAATGCGCACAGATGACGTTGTTCTATAACAGATGTTGTTGTAATCTTGGTTTTGGCTTTCAGTCTGCTGAGGTTGAATAGCTTGCCATCTGTCCGATAGATGATTTCCACTCCGGTGGGAAGCTTCCCATCAACAAGGTGAAGTATCATAGCGATGAAGATGGAGAATAAAGTTGGGGCAATAACACATCCCTGTTTGACACCGGATTCCACCTTAAATGGATCACTTTGGGAGCCATTGCTGTCCAAAACTGTTGCCATCATGTCATCATGGAGGTGCCGCAGGATCTTCACAAATGTGTTAGGGCACCCGATTTTTTGGAGGATGGTCCAGAGAGCGCTGCGATTCACTGTGTCGAATGCCTTTGCAAGGTCGATGAATGCCATGTACAGAGGTTGATTTTGTTCTCTGCATTTTTCTTGGAGCTGTCGTGCAGTGAAGATCATGTCCATGTAATGATGGCTGCCACACTGGTGGCTCCCAACTCAAGGCAACTTTGAAAAGGAATTGGACACATTCATGGATGATGGAGCCATCGATGGCTTCTTGTCATTCCCTCCAGTGGGATAAGAGTAGGAAGATGTTGCCGCACATGGGTCCCACATGAGAAGCCAACTGGTTGGCTTCTATCCATTCAGAAGGTTAGACTAGATGGCTCTTTTGTCTGATCAAACACAGTTCGACCTAAGTTCTCACTCTGATAAATTGACAGAGTAAAAACAGATCATCTACACCAGTGGTTCTCAACTTCCCTAATGCTGCGACCCCTTAATACAGTTCCTCATGTTGTGGTGACCCCCAACCATAAAATTAATTTCATTCCTACTTCATAACTAATTTTGCTTCTGTAAATATCTGATATGCAGGATGTATTTTCATTCACTGGACCATGTTTTGGCACAAATACCCGGTACACCCACATTTGAATACTAGTGGAGTTGGGGGGCGGGGGTGGCATTGGTTTTGTCATTTGGGAGTTGTAGTTGCTGTGATTTATAGTTAACCTACAATCAAAGAGCATTCTGAACTCGCCAACGATGGAATTGAACCAAACTTGGCACACAGAATTTCCATGACCAACAGAAAATACTGGAAAGGTTTGGTAGGCATTGACCTTGTGTTCTGGAGTTGTAGTTCACCTGTATCTACCTTGAGCTTTGGAGTTGCAGTTCATCTATATCTAGACAGTACTATGGACTCAAACAATGATAGATCTGGACCAAACTTGGCACAAATACTTTATATGCTCAAATGCGAACACTAGTGGAGTTTGGGGAAAATAGACCATGACATTTGGGAGTTGTAGTTGCTGGAATTTATAGTTCACCAATCAAAGAGCATTCTGAACCCCACCAACAATAGAATTGGGCCAAATTTCCCACACAGAATCTCCAAATACTGTGCTTTCTGATGGTCCTTGGCGACCCCTCTGATCTACACGTAATCCTTCTTGTTGTTAACTGCTGTCAGGTTGACTTCAATGCTATGGTTGTGCAGATAGCAACATTAAATGTATCTATATACACACACACACATACATAGGTGACCCTATGAATAAGAGACCCCCAAAGTCACTGTATCATAAGAAAATTAGTATTTCAATACAGAGCCATTTTAATACCAACCCCCTTCTGCTGATCCCTGGGTTCCTAGGCAAGTACTTATTATTTCATTCCTTTTTCCTCCCTGAGAACAGGAAGCAGATTTTGCTATGCGATGGAACAAAGAGGAAATATTTCCTACCTCCTCTGGATAAGGGCTGTCAGGATGGTGTGATCCTCTGGATATGGTCAGCTTGCAGCTGCCATGATAGCTCACCATTGGCAGTGCTGGCTAGTGAGACTCACAGCCCAACACTTTTTTGACACTGCAGTCGACTTTTCTGGGGATCCTTGTACCTAATCATCGTGTGATTGTCTATACCCAAAGTGTTTCTTGCTTAAGTTTTAATAATACTGAATTTTACTTGGTTTTTAACTATGCAAAAGCTAGTTCATATAGTATTTTATGTAGTATTTGAAGGGTGTATCTCGCCGCTGAGCCCCTGGTGGCGCAACAAGTTAAACCACTGAGCTGCTGAACTTGCTGACTGAAAAGTCGGCAGTTCAGATCCAGGGAACGGGGTAAGCTCCCACTGTTAGCCCCAGCTTCTGCTAACCTAGCAGCTTGAAAACATGAAAATGTGAGTAGAGCAATAGGAAGGTAATGGCACTCCGTGCAGTCATGCCGGCCACATCTAGGAGGTGTCTACGGACAATGCCGGCTCTTTGGCTTGGAAATGGGGATGAGCACTTCCCCCCAGAGTCGGACACGACTAGACTTTATATCAAGGAAAACCTTTACCCATAGTATTTTAATTGTGTATTTCATATTGTATTTAACAATCCAGTTTTTATGTATTTATGTGTTTGTCCTTTATGTGAAAGACCTATGGCCTAAGCATTAAATTAACAACTATTACTACTAGCGATAGTCACAGCCCAACACTTTCTGAGGAATCACATGTCCCCCTCCATAGGTCTAAACAGCTTCTCTCCTACATCACTCCTCACTGTCTCTGCTTTTGTTTTTCTCTGCACACATAGCAGTCACTACCGGGAATCTCCTAGACCTGGAGAATGCCACCAAACCCCCTTTGACCCTGAACTCCAACTCTGTGCACTTAGACAGCAGCATCTTTCGACCACATTCATCAGAAAATAACAACGTTGTGTGGGTAAGTGTTTTGCGAGCATTCCTTGAAGCATGCAGATGTCTCAGTCGTGATGTGCCAAACATAAGTGTGCCACTGATTATCTCTGGGCATGATTGCTAAAGGACATCATGTGCCGGTGGTTGAAATGGGATATTAAGAGTTCTTTTCAGTAGATCTGGACCTATTGGTCCAGTGAATGCTTCATCTTTGTCACTCCATCGACCTTAGGGGTATGTCTGAGAGAGAGGTGGAGGTTATATCACATTTTTGAGAGAGTTTCCGAATTTCAGAATCGTTTGTGAGTCATTTAGATCTCTTCCTTACCAGCCAGTCCCTCTTGAGTATTTCTTGACTCACGTGGTCCCTTCGGAGAACATTGTGCATGTAACCCATTAATAGTTCTGGTAACACTTATCAAAAAACAACCCTTCCATCATTTCATTCTAAATTGCTTTCTTATCTTGCTACACCAAATTAAAATGGAGGTGCAGGATGTGTTTGTGTGTGTGTGTCACAAGCTGTACAGTAAGTTTAGGGCAGTGAAAGGCCTGCCGAGAAGCTTTAATAAGGTTCTATTACACCAAACAAGGAAAATACTTCTCCTCCTCACTAAAAATCTTTGTCAAAACAGCCTCTAAACTCTTCTTTGATGCAGCCATATGGTGTGAAAACTCAACTGTTAATCTACGCCTTCTTGCGTACCTAATGCGGTCCTGCTTCTAGAAACAGGTGAATGCCCACTGAGTACTAGGGCCTGGACTCTGAAAACGAACCAACGGTTAAAAACAATGATATTCCAACTGGGAACAGGTTTACTACATCACCTCCCTTATAAAGTCTCCAAACCCCTTTGGGCGTGGAGTACTGAACGAAAAGCAGCCTCACTTGGACTATCCGCACCCCTCCTGTTCCATCTGGGACTCAAAATGGCTCGAGAATCCCTGAAGCAAAGGTTGCGGGACATTGCCCTGAAAGAGCTTAGAGCCCACTCAAATTCACCATGCTCCCCCAGAGTCCTAAATTTACCATACAGGGAGCCATTTAAGACATGTGAATACCTAAAAAGCCTTACAGTGACTAAATATTGCAGATTCTTTTCAAAAGTGAGATTATGTATTTCCCTCAGAGTTGCTAAGAGGCTGACTGTCTGGAATGCCTTACTTCCAAAGACTATGCCCCTGTGGAGAAAATGAAATAGAAACAATAGAACACATTTTATTGCAGTGCCACTACTACGCAGTGCAACATAGCCAACTTTTATATTCAGTCTGTCCCGCATGACAAGCCATCCCAAGCAGAGGATTGTTAGATATCTTTGAGAGGACAAGTGCCACAAGGTGACTCTCATTGTGGCAAAATTCCTTGCAGTGGCAACAAGGCTGAGTGTCCTGAGTTGCCCTTCAAAAACAGCCTTAATACAATGTTGAAAGTAAAAGAAAAATGCTTTACTTCAGCAAATACAAATGATAAGCAAATGCAGTTGAAAAATGCAAAAGAAAGCAAGGAAATCTTAATGCAGACATAAATTAAAGTCTCTTACAAAGTCCCAAAAGAAACAGCAGTCTTCCATCAGACAACAGGCAATGATCACTAAGTCCTTAGCAGCAGACACAAAGAGGTTCAATTGGAGTGAAAATCTTGGCATCAAAGTTGTTGTTACCAGCGAAAGCTGACTGCTCCTGCTTCTGATTTATAACCTTGAGTTCCCCACACAGGAGGTGCTAGGGCATCTCCCAATTAGCTCAGCGTTTCTAGCAGCTATTCTAGTTTAACATCGTCTGTGCTCTGTATCCTTTCGTCTCTCTAGAAATGTGGGCACTTGTAAAACCTCATCATCTGATTCTTCTTCTCCCTCCAATTCCTGAGCACTTCCTTGCTCCCCTTCCTCTTCCGAAGATGAAGAATCCCTAACACTGAGAAAGCAACTGACCTCTGACAGGGGCATTACTTGAAACCATGTAGATGTATCTTGTACAATAGACTTCTCCTGCAATGATGGGAGAATTTATAATGACTGTTGGTTTTATTGATGGGACTATGGACTATAATAAATATTGTTGTTGTTGTTGTTCTGATACATAGCTCAGCCTCACAAAGGTCTGAATATAGAATGACTATGGTACACTGAGCCATACAGGATTGCAGCGAATGTTTCCCACTGCATCCAAGACTTGGTACAGTCTATTAAATTAAAGGTATAAGACAATTGTGTACTGTTCTATTATCCGGGCAGAGGTCAAAAGAGAAGGATAGTCCATTTTAAGGAGGGGGGAGGAGCTGAAGGAGGAAAACCATTTTCCCCATTTTCGCTGATTATTTCCCCTTCCCACTTACCCATCCAATGTGGCGCTAGACACCTAGAATACTAACAACAGGGACTCAAAGGGTTAAGGCAAGGCAACGCCTCGGGTCTAGAGTCACCCAACAGAAAGTGCCCGGATGCAGAAGAGGAGCGTGGAAATCACAGAGGGTAGAAGGATGCTTCCGTTTCCGGTTCTGCCTCGTTTCCCCCTTTCCTCCCTCCTCCTCCGCCTTTCCTTGCCTTTTCACTTTTTGGGAATTGAGAGAGAGTTGGAGAACACTCCTATAATTGAAGGGGAAGTGCTGGAGGAAAAGGGGGCATTGCAGAAGAGCGTTGGATAAGACGGAATGTCAGATAAGCGAAGGTCAGATAAGCAAGACTGCTGTATATACATACGATATAATAAAAAATCACAATTATATACATAACAAATAACTAGTATAGGAGGCTTGTTGAAAGTTGCTGTTTCCAACATGTAAGAGGTTCAGTAATAACGATCATTAGATCTTGCTTCGTATTTATTCAGCAGGTAGGCAATAGGATGCTTTCCAGGTGCTTTGGACTGTAGCACCTATCATCCTTCATCATGAGCTGGGCTGATTATAAACTTTGCGATTTGTAATCCAAACCATCTAGAAGCCATTCTGCCTGGATCCCCCTTTTCTGGGGAAAAAACAAACAAACAGTGTAAAAATAATGTTGTAGAGTCATGTGCTTAGCTAAGTAAGTTTCATTCCTGTATGATTTATTTTCATTTTTCCTCTCCTCCTGCCCCATTTCTCGTTCTAACAAAGGCACTGGATGACGGGCTGGATGAAGCGTTTTCAAGGTAATTATGATCATTTGTTTCGCGAAACGATCTTTCCACCAGCGGCTTGCCCAAGAAACAGGCTTGATTAGTGACTGCTTTTTCCTCCTCTCTCTCTCTTTCTTTCTTTTTTCTTTTTTTGTAAATGCTTCTAATCTAAATTGTCTGCTGCAGCCTGACCCCTTCAGCAGTTCTCTGTTTGACTAATTGAACGATGGGATTTGCAGCCGACTGGATAAGTCAAATATTTTGATAACTTCTTAAAGGCAGGAGCTAATTTGTGTGTACGGTGGGGAATTAAATTCCCTAAATGATGTGGCTTACTCAGTAAGTGTTCGCCTCTATAAGGCCACCAGGAGCAAAATGTGAGTTGCCAAAACATGGAATGAGCACCCAAGAGGGAGGAAACAGCTGGGTGGAAATGCATATTGGGAAGTCCTGGAGGAAATGCAGTCTACAAGTTCTCCTGCTACAGTAGCTGAAATTTCCTAAGGCAGCATTAAAGCTTGAAAAAGTTACATTTAATAATAATATATAATAATATTATTAACTAAATAATATAAATAATATAAATAAACTATTATTATTATATTATTATTATTATTATTATTATTATTATTATTATTTGAAACACAACAAGATGAGTCCACAGCAGACACTCTGCTGGCTGTTGAATTGGATCACACGTCGGACACTTCCCAAGTGTCTAGATCTGTGTGATGTATCGGCAAATAATGCATGCAGATCCCAGTAAGGTGGCCTTCTGCAACTGGCAGATGGTAATTTTGTCAGTGCTGATTGTGTTTAGGTGCAGGCCAAGGTCTTTAGGCACTGCACCCAGTGTGCCGATCACCACTGGGACCACCTTGACTGGTTTGTGCCAGAGTCTTTGCAGTTCGATCTTTAAATCCTCATATTGTGTCAGCTTTTCAAGTTGTTTCTCTGCAATCCTGTTGTCACCTAGGATTGCGATATCGATGATCCATACTTGGTTTTTTAACATGATTGTGAGGTCAGGAGTATTGTGCTCCAGAACTCTGTCTGTTTGAATTCGGAAGTCCCAGAGGAGTTTGGCGTGTTCATTCTCTGTAACTATTTCCGGATTATTATTATTATTATTATTATTATTATTATTATTATTATTATTTGAAACACAACAAGATGAGTCCACAGAGTGTCTGCTGTGGACTCATCTTGTTGTGTTTCTAATAATAATAATAATAATAATAATAATAATAATAATTTATTTATAGACCACCCTCTCTCCTCAAGGGGATTCATGGGGGTTTACACACACAAAAGGCAAACATTCAATGCCTGAACTCAAATACAAACATTTTGAAATAAACAGAATAATACAAAAATAATAACCATGAACATGTAACAAAAGAGAAATTGACACCAAAATGAGAACCAAATCTTAATAATTGAATAAACCTAAATATACTAATAACATAAATTAACCATTTAAACATAAAGCCTAGAAAAGGCAATTAAAATATATCATATTTATTTATTTACTTACTTACTTACAGTATTTATATTCCGCCCTTCTCACCCCGAATGGGACTCAGGGCACATCTCAATGCACACATACACAGCAAACATTCAATTCCATTTTTAGCTATACAAGACAGACAAAAAGATAGAGGTATTTCAGCATTTTCTAAGTTCATCACCTGGAGGTTATTATCAAGGTTGGTTTTTTTAATGTACCAAAGCAGCAATGCAATACAGATAGGTTTGCCAGCATTCCAGTGGAACTAAAATGTCCTAATCTTCCTCCTCTCCGTACACCAAAGTGCAAAAGCGCATTTTCAAGAGCTTTTTAAAGGAGAGGAGGATGGGTGCCATTTTTATTTCAGAGACGGGGAGTGAGGTGGTCTATAAAGGGAGATGCGATCGGATAAATAGCCTGAACCCAGGCTGTTTAGGGCTTTATAGATAACGACCAGCACTTTCTATTTGGCCCAGAAGCGGACCGGCAACCAGTTGAGCTGCCACAGCATGGGAGTTCTCCTCTCACAATACAGTGCTCCAATTTGCAATCTGGCTGCCAATCTCTGCACCAATTGCAGCTTCTGATCTGTCTTCAAAAGCAGTCCTACGTAGAGAGCATTGCAGTAGTCCAAATGAGATGTGACCAAGGCATGGACTACCATGGCCAAGTCAGGCGTCTCAAGGTATGAGTGCAGCTGGTGCACAAGTTTTAACTGTGCAAAGGCGCTCCTGGCCACTGCCAGCACCTGGGGTTCCACAGTCAACAATGAATTCAGGATCACCCCCAGACTGCGGACCTGTATCTTCAGGCTGGATGATCCTCTATCTGAGAGGGATACTTTGATTGTAATTTTCCTGCATGTCAGGGTGTTGGACTAGATGGACCATGTGGTCTCTTCCAACTCTATTATTCTACCACTCTATGAAAAAAGGACAGGGGTAGGCACAGAAAAACATCTATTTCTGTTTTATTGACTATTCTAAAGCCTTTGCCTGTATGGATCATAACAAATTGTGGCAAGTTCTTGGTGGTATGGGGATACCAAGCCACCTTGACTGTCTCCTGAGGAATCTGAATAACGACCAAGTAGCAACAGTAAGAACAGACCACAGAACAACAGACTGGTTCAAGATTGGGAAAGGAGTATGGCAGATCCGTATACTGTCAACCTTCCTATTCACTTTGGAGGCAGTGACAGACTTTGTATTTGTAGGCATGAAAATGACTGCAGCCAGGAAATCAGTAGACATTTCCTTCTTGAGAGGGGAGCAATGACCAATCTCGATAAAATAATGAAGAGTAGAGACATCACACTGGCAACGAAGATCCATATAGTTAAAGCAATGGTATTCCCCATAGTAATCTGTGGATGCAAGAGCTGGACCGCAAGGAAGGCTGAGCGAAGGAAGAGAGATGCTTTTGAACTGTGGTGTTGGAAGAAAATTCTGCGAGTGCCTTGGACCGCGAGAAGATCCAACCAGTCTATCCTCTAGGAAATAAAGCCCAACTGCTCACTGGAGGGAAGGATATTAGAGGCAAATATGAAGTCCTTTGGCCACATAATGAGAAGACAGGAAAGCTTGGAGAAGAGAATGATGCTGGGGAAAGTAGAAGGAAAAAGGAAGAGGGGCCGACCAAGGGCAAGATGGATGGATGGTATCCTTGAAGTGACTGGCTTGACCTTGAAGTTGGGGGTGGCCACAGCCAACAGGGACCTCTGGCCTGAGCTGGTCCATGAGATCACAAAGAGTCGGAAGCGACTGAACGAATAAACAACACAAGGCACATGATAGAAACTGTAGTCCTACCTATCTAGAAGGCAGCAGTTTGGGAAGGTCTGTTCAGTACCCACTGATGTAATTGAGCAGTTGAGGTCAACGTAAATTAGGAAATGGTCCCAAGTTCATGTCATTGTCTGTAAAACAATGCTTTCATCCTGAATGCTACCAGCATCTGTTGTTTAGCAATGTCACAAAATGTGTTGGTAAGATTTTTCAAAGTACAAATCACTGCTGCTGCTCCTTCTCATTTTTCCTGCCTTGGACATTGAGAAATTCATCCGTTTCTTCCTCAAGCGGTCACTGTTGCCATGTTTCAGTTGCTTTCCCGGCTTCAAAAACAAATAACTTAATGATGTTTTAGAAGAAGAATAGCAGAAAGCTATTCTTGTTTTGCTTTTTAAATGGATTGATAGATTGATTTTTTTTATGAGTACTAGAAATAAATGGTGGCCCGTCTTGGAAGAAGGGGGTCCATAAGATTGTGTGTATGAATGTCTGTATGGCAGGCCTTATTTCACAAATGTGCAAAAAGGGAAAAAAAACTCAACCCAATTTTTAAATAATCTCTAGTACAATCTCCAAACATTGCTATCTGATGCAGAACAGTGAATATTGCCCGAGGTGCAGAGCTATTTTCACACCGAAGGCAGAAAATCCCAAATATAACTTTCCTATCCCCGAATAGTAAAAATCCCAAATATAACTTTCCTATCCCCGAACAGTAAACAGCCCCTTAAGCAGCCGAGGGGGAAGGGGCCCAAGGCTACTAGGAATTGTAGGAGTTGAAGTCCAAAACACCCGGAGATCCCAAGTTTGCCCATGCCTGAACTAGCCAATGGACTTCACAATTAAAACTCATACAAATCAAATAAGACCCCAAATAGTAAAAATGCAGGAGTAGCATCTGTAAAAGTTCATAGAGTTAAGCCAAGGTTATTTTTGTGAGATTGAAAAAATAACGTTGCTCTCAGCAGTTGTAATTTCCCAGCACCACGACCTGCAGCTCCTTGGAAACCTTTTAGTTCAAGTGCTGGCTGGCTTAAGAGGCAGAGCTTTTTTAGTCATGTTTGATCATTAACCTAAATGTGAATCTCAAAGTAGATGCGATTGTACGTCTGACTCGCAGTCTCATAAATACTAATCTGGATGCCAGTTTCTGCTCTTTTTATTTTCATGGCATCTGGAAGCAAAAGGCCATATCCATCCATTTCTGAGGTCCTGCAGCCAGGATAAGAAAACTGTCCAGTAGGGTTGTGCATTCAGGGTAAATCCTGACCCGATTCGTGTCCCAGCTTTCAATGGGGACCCAATCCGTTTTTTGGGAGCTTCCTGAAATTGGGAGGGAAGATATCTCTCTTTGCTCTTCAGTGCCAAAAGATCAGTTTTCTATGGGCCCATTATGGGGGGGGCTCTCACCCAGACTGTCCTTCCCAGCGAACGCTTTAAAGAGGCTTCTTCTAACCGGCTGTTTTTACTCTAGAGGAGGTGCTTGATTGCATGCACTGGCAGGCATGGGTGCTCTGGGCCTGCACGCCACACATGCACTCTCTTTCCAAGGAGAGTGCGTGTGTGTGGTGTGCAGGCCCAGAGCTGTCCTATTTTGCCAAAGAAACAGCCTTATAACAAGGGTTAAAGCAACTAAAAAAGCTTTACTTCAGCAAAATGATAGTAATAATAATAATAATAATAATAATAATAATAATAAACCTTTATTTATATCCCGCTAACATCTCCCGAAG